TCTGCAGCGGCAAGGCCAGGGAGGGTTGTGGGTTGGATAAGAGATCAACCAAAGGACTTGTATGCATGTATATAAGCATAACCAATGGACACAAGACACTGGGGGATATGGGAGGCCAGGGGATTGTCAAGGGCGGCGGGAAAAAGGGACAGATATGTAATACCCTTTGTAATACTGTAAGTATATATATATATATATATATATATCCTATATAATTATATATATATATTTCCCTCTTAGGACTGCTTTTACTGTGTCCCACAGATTTTGGATTGTTCTCATTTTCATTTGTTTCAGGGTATTGGTCTCATTGTTAACCCATTCATTGTTTAGTAAAATGTTACTTAGCCTCCATGTCTTTGTGTGTGTTTTTCAGGTTTTTTTTGTTATGATTGATTTCTGGTTTCATACCATTATGGTCAGAGAAGAAGCTTGATATGATTTCAATATTCTGAAATTTACTGAGACTTGTTTGTATTCTAACAGGTGGTCAATCCTAGAAAATGTTCTATGTGTACTTAAAAGGAAGGTATATTCTGCTGTTTAATTTATGCTCTGAAGACATAAATCCATCTGATCTAATGTGTCATTTAAGGCCACCTTGTTGATTTTCTGTCTGGAAGATCTATCCACTGATGTCAATGGGGTGTTAAAATCCCCTGCTATTACTGTACTACTGTCAATCTCTCCCTGTATGTCCATCAAGATTTGTTTATATATTTAGGCGCTCCTATATTTGGTGCACAAATATTTACAGGAGTTAGATCCTCTTCTTAGATTGCTCCCTTTATCATTATGTAGTGTCCTTTGTCTCTTACTATAGTTTTTGTTTTAAAGTTTATTATTTTATCAGATACAAGTATTGCTACCCCAGCTTTTTTTTTTTTCCTTTCCATTTGCATGAAATATCTTTTCCCATCCCTTCACTTTTAGTCTATGTGTATCTTTTTTTCTGATGTGGGTCTCTTGTAGGCAGCATATACATGGGTCTTGTTTTCTTATCCATTCAGCTACCCTATATCTTTTGGTTGGAGCAATTAAGCCATTTACATTTAAAGTGATTTTTGGTGAGTACATATTTATTGTCATTTTATTCTTTTAATTCCTCCTCTTCTCCTTCTCCTTCTCCTCCTCCTCCTCCTCCTCCTCCTCCTTCTCCTTCTCCTTCTTCTTCCAAGCTCTTTAATATTTCTTGTAATACTGGTTTGGTAGTAACAAACTCCCTTAGCTTTTTCTTGTCTGGGAAGCTCCTTCCATTTTAAGTAACAGCCTTGCTGGAAAAAGTAGTCTTGGTTGTAGGTGCTTGCTTTTCATCACTTTGAATATTTCATGCCAATTCCTTCTGGCCTAAAATGTTTCTGTTGAGAAATCAGCTGACAGTCTATGGGAGCTTCCTCGTAGGTAACTAACTATCTTTCTCTTGCAGCTTTTAAGATTTTTCTTTTCATCTTTAACCTTTGCCATTTTCATCATGATGTGACTTGGTGTAGGTCTCTTTGTGTTTATCTTGTCTGGGACGCTCTGTGCTTCCTGGACTGGTGAGTCATTTTCCTTTGCCAGGTTTGGGAAAATTTGGTCATTATTTCTTCAAATAGGCTATTGATCCCTTGCACACTCTCTCTTCTCCTTCTGGTACCCCTATAATGTGATGCTATTACACTTCATATTGTCCCAAAGGACCCTAAACTATCCTTTTTGGGAATTTATTGCTGCTCTGATTGGGCATTTTTTCTACCTTGCCTTCCAAATTGCTGATTTGATCCTCTATTTCATCCAACCTACTGTT